TAAATCTATCATATGTACTGTTGCACGAAGATGACTAGTATCGATAATGTCAAATGATATGGTATGTTATAGTGCAAGCAAAACTCCACCGCCCCTCCCACTATTAATCACTGTAAAATCCCTATCCTTACGAATAACATTATAATAATTTGTAAAAAGTACGTTGTCACTGAAAACATGCCCTTCACTCAAGTGGATGCAGGGTAGCCTCAGAGGACACCTCGAAATCCTCAAGCATCCACGTCTAAACCACTTGATTGAAATTAAAACGGTCCTTATACCGACAGAATATAATTTGGATCAGCCGTATAAGTCATATTTAGAAGCAGGGATGATTGGACGAAGGGTGAGCCTCAACTTAAAAGAGGAGCCCTTGCTTGGTACACTGATGCTTCAAAGACAGTTGGATCCAGAGTAGATATTAGTGGACATTTAGTGAGCATTAGTTTTTAAGTTAAGCCGACGTGACACGTCGCAATTGACTGCTATGGCGGTAACTACGGAGGGGCCTGGTTTGACTGCTAGCGCCAAATTGGCGTGTAAATTGTCAAATTTACGTGATATACCGAAAGTAGAACATTTTCTAGCCTTGGCAGTAGCTTTGCTCGCAGTCCATACTATGGTAATAGATATGTTACACGCAAATTTTGACGGGAACAGTCAAACCACGCTCATCCGTAGTTGCCGCCATAGCAGTCGACTGCTACGTGTAACATCGGCTTTAGTTACTTTTGTGCCACATTTATACCAGAGAATGTTTAAACAAACATCAAGAGAAAACTTAAGTTATTACCTTTGCATAAACTACAATAAACTAAATATTAGAAGATGAAGAATTGAAAGAAGTCACTATAACTATGTCCTATTGCTGTCAAACTAGTCAGTGTTTACTGTTAACTAGTCTTATAGGATGAAATAATCTTGTAGTGTGAAATTAACAATATATATCAGTCATATGCACTGTACAAAATGCAGCAAAAGTGAGTTAACCGACATTAATAAAACAAATGACTGTTTGAAAACCGTAATTTATTGTTGAACAAAACAGTTTATGTGTACCACCTTCATCAATACATAATTGGCATTGTATGGACCTGCATGTTTTACGAAAGAATTGCGGGTGACCTCTTAGAGCTACGTATTAACTTAGAGCAGTTCTAGATACATTTCTGCATTCACCGTTCCAACAAAGAAATTCAGTTGACGATACCACCCGCATAAATACCAAACCCACACTGTTATACCAGGAACATTTAACTCAACTTTTATGGTTACATGGTACTTGGTGCAGAAGCAAAAGGGCTCAGAATTAATCCAAACAAAGTCGAAATAGTCGATTTCACTCGGACAGGGAAGCTACAATTGAGAGCACTCTCCATTGAAGGCAGAATTATTAACCTTAAAACAGAAGTCAAATACCAACGGGTAATACTCGACAGTAAATTGAACTGAAACTCCCACATAGTTACGGTGAGGAAAACGGACATCATGGCTAACCAGATCTGTCGCAAGCTCCTTGGATGCAACTTTGGTCTTAAACCACGAATGGCTCACTAGTCCTACGTAGCAATAATCAGATCTATGGTCGCCTATGCCTCACTGGTTTGGTGTCCAAAATCAAAACATAAGACAGTACAACAAGAGCTGGCACATATCCAGCGGTTAGCATGTCTTAAAACGGATCTTATACCGACAATATAATTTCGGCCAGCCGTATAAGGTCATATTTAGAAGCAGGGATGTTACTCTATGGTGGGTTCCAGGTCACAAAGACATTGAGGGCAATGAAAAGGCGGATAAGCTGACCAAAGAGGCAGCGAAAACGCCCTTTTTGCTTAACAGATGTGGACTACAAAGAAGCCACGTCAAGCAGATAATCAATAGTTGGGAGGCCTTCCAGGTTACTGACAGGCGAAGCGTATGATAATTCCGTCCAAAATAAAACCAGAGGTTTTATGCCTCAGACATCTTGGCCGGCCATGCGCCCCTAAAGTAGCACCTCTTCCATATTGGATAAGCTGAGGATCAAACTTGTCGACTTTGCAACGATGAGTCAGAGACTGCTGAACATACAGTGAATTTCACTGCATCTTAAGTGAACAAGTGTACAAAAATTTGTTGCCATAGAATCCAGGGCATACCTACTTACTTTATCCCACATAAAATGCAACATGTTCATATAATTTGACATTACAGTAAAACCTCGATATAACGGATCAATACGGGGAACGCAATGTCCGTTATAGCTCAATAAAAATATACAACAATCTAGCGCTGAATAACAAATAAAACTAGACTAACACTAGACCTAGAACTAGAAACATTCCGTTTAGCCGTACCTCTCTTAAGACGGCTGGTAGGTGGTAGGTAGCGCTAGTTAGCAGAAAATATCATTAATGTTGCATATTTTTATTGAACGAAAAGTAGAACTAACACTAGAACCAGAAACATTCGGGTTTAGCCGTGGGTCTCTTAAGACGGCCGAAAACCTTTTTCCAAGCAAAACTTTTCCTTTGCAAAACTACCCACTGCTTGTACCATTAAGCTATGTTGCATTTTATGTGGGACAGTGCATAGTAGTTTCGTAACTCTGGTTACTGCATGTGAATGCGTCGGCTAAGACACAAAGTCTTCTGTAAAGTTCGCCTGACACCTACCGACATAAAGCCCTAAACCTTTGGACGACTTAAGTTACAATAGCTCTTATAGGTCGCAGTGACGAGAAGGCCTCTCTCCTTGGCCCGGCAGCGATAACAATAATAATAATTGAAGGGTTAAACGACATTTTGAGACGTTTGACAGATAGTTATTAACAAAATTCTTACTAAGATGCTAAACTGAAATAGTATATTAAAAAAGAAGTTTCGTAAGACACGCTTGAAATGCACGAATTCAAGTTGAATAACGAGTGGCGAAGCCACGATTTTTTTAATGAATGAGTGCTTTAAGTCTTATGAAACGTATTTTTTATGCTATTTCTTGTAATTCGCGTCTTTATCCTTTTTTTAACAAAAATAAAATAAATTTTGACAATGTAGGGAAATAGGTATGTAGCAGTTGGTAACACTTGAAAATAGAAATTTGAATTGACAATTAATAATTGTCAAAACAAATTGTATTCACCTGAAAAAATTTTTTTATATATACCTCCCAAAATAAGAGAAATTGCTCAGAGTTCAATGTCTTCATCATTGTGGACCTTGTAGTCGATGCTAAGAGCGTGTTTAAACATCCAAAGACCAAAATTGTCACATTGACAACTAGAAAAATTAATGACCCAATGTCACCAACTTGAACTGGTTCCGTAAAATGTTACTAAAATCTCATTACAGCATCGGATGCTGTAAGGAGTCTCATTACAGCATCGGATGCTGTAAGGAGTCTCATTACAGCACCCGTTTGAGTACTGTTATAGCTTTCATTACCGTCGCGAATTACAAAAAATAAATAAACGATGTGCTGAAATGTTAACTTGACAGATATGTATTGAAACCATTTTGAAGTGTCATAGTGACTGACAGTTACGAATAAATGACATTTGACAACTATTATGAACATAATCCATCTAATAATTATGATGAAATCGTAATGAAAACGTTTCGAGTTGAAAATATAACATTTATTAATAAATAGTTAAATAGATAATGAAACGTCAAAATCGTGAATTCTAGGTATTTCTTCTTTTTAACGTATTTAAGTTGGCGAAATTACTTAATGAATTAAAATCGATGAATAAATTATAATTTTGAGGTTCATTTTAAATATTTTCTGAATAAAAACTTAATTCCATCTTTTTTATTTTTTAAAACAATATTATTTATTTTTATATCGAAATCATCCCTCTTAGGGTATGTTTATTATAACCAAAATTAAGTTGGTATTAATTGTCAAGCTAATTTTTCTGTCAAAATACGTTTTTAAGTATTATTTATGTGATTACGTTCTTCGCGTAAAAACTAAAAAGATGGAAAATTAGTTACCCGGCTAAGATTAAATGTTAATTTGCGAACCAACGAAAACCATTCCTTACGTCAAAATCATCCCTTTTAGGATATTTTTATTTTTACCGAAATTAAGTTGGTATTAATTGCTTGTCAAGTTAACATTTGTAATGCCAAAATATATTTTTAAGTAAAAAAATTTGCTAAAAAAGCTGTTTGTGAGCTAAGAAGATGAAAAATTAGTTACCCAGGTAAGTATAAATGTTATTTTTCGAAACATTTGTGTGTTTAATAAATTAGAAATGAAATTCTTTGTATAAACACACCTGGTGACAAGAAAAATGAGAAAAACACATAAAAAGTCGCATAAATCTCCATACGGACGTTTCAATTAACTTATTACAACAATTATCCTCAATTGACCAGGTGTTTTCTCAATTTATAAATAAATGTAAAATCGTGAACATAACTTTGAGATGCTTCTGGACTTTGATTGACACGTGTTTATGCACTTTCAATTTATAAATTAGTTTTTTCCTTAAATTTTTAATTTAAACACAAAATTCTTTTGTATTTATTTATTTATTTATGTAGGCGCACACCTGAGGTTGAGGTACACGATTAGAGCAGATAATGTTTATTATATAATCGCATAAATCGGTTTTACAAGATAGATAATTGTTCTCAGGTAGCAATAAAACAATGCCACCCACTCTTTTTAACGGTAAATTTTTTTAACTATTATTTACTACTCATTTTTATTGTTTAAAATTAATTTATTGAGATTTAAACATAATCCAATTAAATTTCTTGACTACATTTTGAATAAAAACGAAAATTTTGTGAAATTTAAAATCGAGGACACAAATTAGATTCTCGTTCCAGATAAATCGTTATAAATGGTAGTTTGGGAATTTGTGGTGATTAGTCATTTAGGTTGAGGCGATTATCTGGAAAATTGTCAGTTTAAATCTTCTATTTAAAATTAAAAGTGACATCGAAGGATATTTTTAATTATTTAATACGAAAAATATTAATCTATCAATATAGATAACTCACCCTCTCAGAAATTTGTACAAGATTTATTCTTTTTAATAAAATCTCCAAAAAAATAAAACGTTTGAAATCCGAAATAACACAATTAAAGTATTCACTCACATAGTTCGAAAACACACAAGCTTTTTTTATGATTTTTGAGAAAAAAAGCTTCGTATTATTAAGTTAGAATCGGCGCGCTCCGCAACGATTCAAATTTGAAAAGAACGCGCGTCGTTTTCGTTCGAAGTCGCCGGCAACACTGCACCTGACTGTTGTGGAGGAGAACCCGAGCGCCACCTTACACAGTACTCAAACTCTCGGACCCTGACACGCAAAACCTACTCAATATACATTACAAATCAAAAGTGACTGTACTTTTTATAAACAATATTAAACGTATTAATATTAAGTAGAGACGATTTCAAAGAATCACAACAATTAATAAAAATATTAATTATTTGGTTAGCTATATCAAATAGGAAACGAAAATAACCATGCATAATAACGGAAGTTAATTCTAAATAATCTTACAAACAATCGACGATTGATCATGTAATAATCCTATCTTCCATGTTTTTAACGATAACGCCATTGAGTTTGTACCGATTTAAAAGATTCTTAATCGTATTAATAAAATTGACATATTCTAGAACTCAACATTGAGTTTTTCTTTTTGGGATAACCCCCACCCGCTTGCTCCACAGCATTTCGTGCTACCCGGAACAAGAATCGAAGTGTTAGTCTAGCAGTGTTAGTGTTGTGGCATGCATAAAGGATCGGGTCATTAATAATCTGTTATAAACTTGGGGTTAATCACAGAAATCGAGAGTAATGGCTTCAAAAGAAAGATCACCGTCTACATGTAAGTCAAAATAATCTTTATGGACATTATTATTCATGGTGGTATTGGCATCGGGTGACATGATAAGAAGCTAGATTATACTATCAGAAGACTATTTACTGTTTGCATAAGACTAGATAGTAGTGGAAAATTTCTAGATAGAGCTGGCAGATGTATAGATACTGCTTGTAGAAGATAAAATACTGCTTGCAAAAGCTTAGATACTGCTAGCAAAAGACTTGATACTACAAACAGAAGACTAAGTACTGCTTAGAGACAAGCTACTAGTACAGACGACTAAATATTGCTAGCAGAAGATTAGATACTGCTGGCAGAGGACTAAATTCTGTTGCAGAAGACCAAATACTGCCTGCACAAGGGTAGATACAAAGTACTAAAAGACAAAATTAATTTACTTCCTGGAGTAGGATCAAGTGAATAAGACGACTGTATTATTATGCCGATATTTCGCATTACTTTAATTCTTCCTCCGGGCCTGACGGTTCTACAACATAACCGACAATGGTAATCTAAATTAAATCAAAGTAAACTTACAGTCTTATATAAGTCAATGAAAAAACAAAAGAGAAACCTCGTGCACATCAGAAAATAAAAATCACGTGCTATACCCACAACCAACCACTTACAAACATGTGGTATTCTAACTAGTAAGTATTCTAAATAACCAACAACACTAGACTAAAATCAATTAATAAAAAATTAAAACACATAGATACAGAGGACAACAGCTTAGATACTGCTAGAAACGGACTTGATACTATAAATAGAAAACTAAATACTGTTTAGAGAAAACTAGACACTAAACATTGCTTGCACAAGGATATATACTGACTATAGAAGATTAGATACTGCTAGCAGAGGACTAGATACTGGTACAGAGGACTAAAAACGGCTTGCTGATAACTGTATACTACTTGTAATATAAAGGATTAGTACAGATGGCCAAGAATTAGAATATTGTTGCAGATGACTAAATACTGCTTGGACAAGACTAGATACTGACTGCAGAAAATTAGATACTGCTTATAGAAGACAAAACACTACTTGAAGAAGACTAGATACAATTGCAGAAGAGTAATAATAAGCGCTTTATTGTTTACTATGTTTACAATATTTTCTTCTTTAATATACTACATGTACACACCCTCTACCCGCCTCCTCCATCTCCACACCCTTGGCTCGTCGTCCCAATCACCTCCCTCATCCATCTCTTGCGCTCATCCCTCTCTCCCAAAATCTGCCACCATTCCATCGCCTCCTCTCTCAGTTCGCTCTCAGCATATGTTCCAGCGTTTCCCAATTCTCTCTACACAGCCTACACCACCTCTCCACATCGTCCGCCCAATACCTGTTCCCTCTCTCTTCATTGCCACAGCGGAATCTGGCCACCAATCTCTTTCCTTTCTCGTATCCTTCCATCAACAAATACTTTGGCAGTTCCTCTATCACTATCTATCCCGTATCTGTGACGTTCTTTCCTTTGTCTGTATGTCCTTGGCCCTATCCCTCATTTCTCTCCACATTTCACCTCTCTACACTCTTCTATTGCCGATCCCAGTTGTTGAATATCCCACTCTCCTATAATATCCTTCTCTATCTCCCTATTGCAGAAGCTACTGCTTCTATAAGACTATACATTGTTATAGAACATTTCATACTACTTAAGACGACTACAAATTATTGTAGAATGGTAAATATTACTTGGAGAAGAGTAGGCACTGTTGCAGAAGATCAAATACTGGTCGTAGAATAGAAAATATTACAAATAGAATTCTAAATACTGATAAACGAAGATTTGTGAAGACTACTTCCAGTTTACAGAAAACTTGATACTGCTTATAGAAGATAAAATACTGCTAACAGAAGATTAAATGCTGCTTGTGAGAGATTATTTCCCACTTGCAGAAGACTAAATACTATTTCTGAAAGGCTAAATATTGCATATGAAAGACTAGATACTCCGAATACAAGATTAAGTAAAAGTACAAAATTCGTTGTCCACATAGGCTTTCTTTGAAACTAAAAGAGATACAAAAAAGAAGCTTATATGTCTTTTCTTGTTTGCCTGCTCTACGCAATTCCAACAAACTATCAAAGAATGTGTTTTAACATAGTAAGATTTACCAAAATGAGCAATGACTTCCAGATAAGAAAAGTTGAGTTAGGTTAGTTTTATTTACAAAACTGTTTTGTTTTTAAGTCGATGCATATATGATAATTTATTTTGCCTGTTCTACGCAGTTTAAGCAAAATATCAAAGAATGTATTTTAACAAAGTAAGATTAAAAAAATGATCAATGATTTCCCACTTGGGTAATGTTAGCATAGGTCAGGTTTCTGTTAAAACCCCAATTGTAGCGTGAAGGAATGTTAAGTTAGGTACTTTTCGTTTGAAACCAAAATTATAACGTAAAGGAATGTTAGAATAGGTCAGTTTTCTTTTGAAATCCAAATTATACCCTGAAAGAATGTTGGGATAGGCCAGGTTTCGTTTGAAACCCAAATTATACCGTGAAGAAACCTCAATAATAGAGTACAGGAATGTTAAGATAGGTCAGTTTTATTTTGAACTCCAATTGTAGCGTGAAGGAATGTCAAGACAGGTAGTTTTCTTTTGAACCCCACTTATAGCGTGAAGGAATGTCGGTTTTCTTCTTAACCCTAATTATACCCTGAAGAAACCTCAATTATAGCGTGAAGGAATATTAGGATCGATCAGTTTTGCTTCCAGCTGTCAATCATCCCGGAAATTCATTGTAAGGTTTTATTCAGTTTTGTTATACTTTGACATATTGTATTTTACAAGAATTTAACATCGACCGAAGCCTACTACCCAAAAATCTAATGACATTAGATTAGTTTGTATCATAGTATGGTTATCAATGTTATCAACATAGCAACGTTAACTTTTAAATACATACAATCGTGCTAATGGAACAGATACTACTTGAAGAAGATTAGATGTCATCCATTGGCAGAAAAAAACTATGCAGTTTCTCTATTGTTGCAAAAACTCTGTACCGAAATTTTATAAGCCACAAGGTAAGTATTCAGAACTGCAGAATTAACTGATTTGACATTTTACCAGCATCATCTATATCTTTCGTAGTCTTCAATACAAACAACGCAGAACATATATCGACCACAAACTGTCAAAAACACGACATCAAGGTATGACTAGAAAATGACTAGATACAGTTGGGAGAGGTATAGATACTGCCTGCAGAAGGACAGATAAAGACTAAATTAGCTTAGATACTACTAGTAAAAGACCTAATACTATAAATAGAAAAACTTAATACTACTTAGAGAAGACAAGGTAAATTTTGCTTGCAGAGGATTAGATACTGTTGCAGAAGACTTAATACTGCTTGCACAAGGGTAGATACTGACTGTAAAAGATCAGATACTGCTAGCAGAGGGCTAAAGACTCTTGCAGAAGACTAAATTCTGCTTGCACAAGGCTAAATACAGACAACAAAAGATTAGATACTGTTTGCAGAGGACTAAAAACGGCTTGCACATAACTGTATACTGATGGCAAAGGATTAGTACAGCAAGATTAGATTAATTGGCAGAAGAAGAAACTATGTAGCTTCTCCATTGTTGCTAAAACCCTGTGCCAGAATGTCATAAGTCATAAGGTAATATTCAGAACTGCAGAACACCGTTAAAAACAACATTTTAAAACATCGTGCCAATAACAGAACCTGGGAGCAACATATTATTAACTAATTTAACATTTTACCAGCATCGTATTCAACTTTTATCTTTCTATCCTTAATTTATCGACCGCAAACTTCAAAAATACGACGTCAAGGTACTTCACAATTATGTCATCCGATTATCAGACCTAAAATCTATTTTCCTTATACGCTCATGGAAATGTTAGCTTGCTCGTTACCAGCAGCGAAGATATTTGTCTATAAGCTTGTTTTTTTTTCTCCTAACACTTCCCATATTGGCGAAAAGGTGTTTTAGAATCATTCTTGTTTAAATCATAACGTACAAAGTTCTAAAACTCTAATTTAGGTTAAATATTTTTCAAAATCAAATAATTTTGATTTTTTTTTTCTTATTCTTTTTTAATTTCGATTTCATTGAAAATCGGGCCGAATCGAAAGTGACACCGTCTCAACGGCAACATTCTACGCAAGGCCGCAACCTTACCAGCATTAAAAGAGTTAGCGTCGCGACGCACGTCGCCTCGTTATCAACCGGAAATGAAACGAAATCGTTTTTTTAACACCTACCGAAATGTTCAGTTTAAATCCGGAATTATTTCGCCGGACCAAACGCCCCAAAATCTCGGTTAAGAGCACATCTGGTTTAATAACTTTATGACGCAAACTTCTCTGTCTTGGTCGATCGCTAATTCACGAGAGTTGCGCTCTTCGCATAGCCTTTTTATACA